CAAAAGCGTCACCTATGACACCCTAGGATGAGAATGTGTATACACACGTGACTACCTTCACACACACAGCACAAACATGCCGTCACCCCTTCTGACACTGACATCTTAAAGAAGTGCTGACCTCTTAAAATCTGACCTGGGGGTTAATCTGGTACAGCAGCATATGTGTCCCACAGATGATTAGCAATTAGTTAGAACATAAGTAGAAGTATATAACTAAGTATATAATAAGTTGTGACTAACTTCACGTAGATAAAGAAGACATTTTTCACACTAGTGCTCTGAGCTTAATCCAGGCAGTTGAACAAGCTTCTTCTTGGCTTGCTCTTACAGCCGCAACAATCTCTAGTTTACGGCCTTGACCTTCCTCAAGCGGATAGCAGTGCTCGGGAACAACATAACTTTCGGAGGACTCCTAAAACATTATGGAGACCTAACAGTCTAGGGTAAAAATCACAAATCTGCTAAATGTGACACAATGGTCAGCACAACAAACCCTTGGAGAACAAACAACAGGAGAATACCTCAAGTAAACACAAATTTATAGGTACCATGTTGAGGTCACGTTCGATTTGTTTGTGTTGGCTTGATTTGTTTCTAGATTTATTTTCTTGTTTCATCTGAAGGAGCCAGTGTACTCAATAAGTACACTTCAGGCAGATCCGTAGACCACAATGCACCATGATTGTGACGTCACAGCAGGTTGCGTTAAATCAATAATTAAAATAACTGTAAATAAGCTCCATAGCGGATTCCAAGTGATCAAGGGCTTAGGGTGCTCCATTTAAACGTATCTCAAGGGTTGCTCCAGTAGTGATGACCATTAGAAATGACTTAGATTGAACGAGACTGTTGTTCGCCAGCTATATTGTATGGAAGTACACAGCAATGGAATACTGAGAAACATCCAACTGTAAATTGGACTCGATCCACAAAATCTAACCGAACAATGTTCGTGCAGATTATAACCGTGTGAAGTATTGTTAATCTGATTATCCTAGAGATTAGATGTGTTAGTCTTATACTATGGCCTCCTTCCTGGTAAGAAGGGCAGTGCTGACGTGACCCCGATTAAGTGTTAAGAGACCTTGTTCTAATAAGGGGAGAATCTCTGGTGTTCATGTATATTTATTCTCTCCAGCCTCCAAACAAATGCTTAAAAAAGGTATTTAGACTTGTAGTCAAGGATTTTTATTTCTACCTTTATTTTTCCTCTTATTAACCCAATAAAGCCTATACTCTATCACATTTGATTCACACATTTCAATGGCCTCTAAATTTTCAATATGATTAAACATTTACAGTAAAATTTGTTGTACATAATTTAATATATGCCTTCTTTCATCTAATTGATATTTATACTTTAATTAGCAGTTTAGTATCTTTCTAAAAATGCCTCCTTCAGGCTGTAGTTCATGTGTCTTTTTGCTCTTAAATATTTAATATCTTTTCATATTGTTCGTAATATTTCAAGATGAACACTTGCTGGACTGAAGCAGCTATAGCTTTTTTCTGACTATTATTTCATTTGTCAGGCTTTACAGGGTTAAAGCTTTCTCTGCCAATATTACGATGTTTAACACCCCCTTTGCGTTCAATTCTTCAACAACAGCCTCTTTTTACACCTTTTTTTACACTCTTTTTTATAACAGTATTACACAAAACAATCTGGTCTGAAATGTGCCTCAGAAGCTGTTAAAATCAGACTGAAATCATCTAGGATCTTGTTAAAAGTAAACGTAACCTTCTCTTTCAATGCATGGAGTTTGGCAGGCATCATTTTCCTGTGCATTTTGCTCTTATTGTTAATTTTTGTAGTTTTAAGGAATAATTGCATCAGTCCTAAATTCCCTTTATCAATCACTGCAACAGGTCAGCTATAAGGTTCACTGAATGCAGGTTGTCTTACGTTAAAGGTAGTAAATTTCCAAGCAAGCTAGCTTAGATGCCCTCTTTTCAGAGCATCTCCAAAGCCACGCCTCCTCCAAATCACATGACCACGCAGAGTCTGCAAAGAGACACGAGCGACACCGGTAAATGACTCCATGTCTCAAAGCACATAACTTACAATATTAATGAACAACTTATAATGCTCTAGTTGCACCACCTGACAGCTGCAGATTCATTTCAGCGTTGATTGTGTTGACAAAAACGCATAAATCCGCATCTGAGGACGTGAACAGCTTTGGGTTTCCATCTTAAATTACAGTTATGTCATGGCATGAATGCAGCATAAACTCATTGTTTTGGTTCACGAGGAACTGTAAAAGTCGCTGCTGTTTGTTTGTGGATCTCAGTGACTATCGTCAGTCTACAACTCTGCATATCCTTACGAAAAACACTGATGGCGTGTGACTAGGTGTGTGCAGGTATGGAAATACATGTTGAATGGACATCGTATTTGCACTCGAACCAAATATGTGTTTGGTCCTGTGACTTCCACACTAGATGTGATTTTTTTAATATTTAGTCCATTTCTATTATTGATTGCTATACGGATGTGAAGAAAGATTCAACCAGTCTTTATAAAAAATACATTTGGCTAACCTACATTTAATGTTTTCATTTCCTGCTAAAATCCAAGAATTTAGGAACAAAACATTTTTTTTTTTTAAATAAAAGGCCATTTTGGGAAAGTTCCAGTATGTTTTCATATACAGTGAGCTTCTTTACTTCCAAAGATGAAGGAGAATTCGATTGCACATGGCTATACGACTTTAAATAATTGTGATCCATGACAACATGCTAAATGAAATGTGTAAAGCATAAATTAAACTCTGTGGGAGGTATCTGAGGAAGCAGGCATCCTGGATGACAAGCATGTTCGATATGAGATTACACGTCATGGTAAGTGTGTGCATCTCAGTGCGTCATATTTTAATGTTAAATAACCTCTACAGTCTACACTCTATTAAGTTTTATTGTGCACCCCATGAGTGACTTCATCCAATCTTTGAGGATATCCCCTCAGAGGAAATTCATTAAAACGGATGTCTAGCTAAAATTATGTGAGACTGAAATCCCCAATTGATTCAGACATGAATAAGACAAATCATTCTGTTTGAGAACACCTTAAGGCAGAGAAGCAGAGACAATAAGCAAACACACCAATAACAAAAAAATAAAAATAAACTCTGGGAGACTGAAAAGAAAAAACAGACAATTTTAAATATTATGAATTCTGTGTGTTTATCTTGTTGTAGCAAAATCTTTTGAACACAGAAATGGTTTAGAATGATTTAGTCTTCTTTTTTTTTTCTACAACTCCAAGTGAAAAACGCGACTATGCTGCTTCACATTTACGCATATCATAACGATACGTTAAAGCACCTTCTCATTTTTTTTTCTGACCAGGAAAATAAGAGGATCACTGTACAGAATACCATCATACATTCTTATATATATATATTTTTTTTTATATACAAAAAAAGTCATAGAAAGAATCATATACCAAGAACAGTAAGAAATTATAAACAATGGATGTTGCAAATCTATAATGTGGCTTAAATGTTTGGAAAATAATACTACCAATAATAATGAATAAAATAAAAATGCTATGTTTTCTTGTCCATGTCTTTCTGTCTACATCTGTAACAGTAAAACAATCTAAATCATATACAGTGGCATTGTATCAGACAAAAGAAAGGCAATAGAACAGTTAGCTTTTCACAGAATAGAAAAATAAAGATTTTTCAAAATAAGAAAAATAGACATTGTGTGTTATGATCCTTTGGGTAAAACTTCCTAGGAACACCGGATCTATAATACACACCGGACTAAATTAAATACAGGCATTATGATGTCTGCAATGTAAATTAACACTGGATTGACTGGAGTTTACAAATAATAACTCTTGCTAATGTAATCTATAAACCATTACGACAAAACAGGGACAAGATATAAGATCACAGAAACGTGACCCTTTATAAAAGCCTCCACCCTGTGTGCAAGACAGAAGCAATTACTTGTCATAAAACCTCTCGTAATAACATGGACAACTACTTTAAAACGTATGCATAATGCAGTATAGATGTGTCCATAGGAAGTATTACCACTTCAGAAGTGGTAAAATTTGACATAATGACTATACGTGATTTATCGAGGTCTTAAACATCATGTAACCAACACTTTTCATCCGAAGCAACTTGACCTACGCTAATAGGAGAGTCCCCGTGGAGCAACCTGAGGTTAAGTGCCTTCGCTCAAGGGCACAATGACGATAGACAAGCTCAGTTTCACCCCAGTTCATGATTCACCCCTGAGAGAAATCAAGCTTGCCACCACCATTTGGCACTAATAAAGGTTTCTAAAGATCCAGATCCTGTCCTAAATATCTGTCTTTCACAACATAAGTCTGAAATGTTGGTCAGAGTGTTACACCAGACAATAAGTCTTGAGGGGCTTGTTGTGAAGAGTACGAATGTAAATCACCAAGACTAACAAACTAGGGAATAGAGTTCGAAATTGATCATTGAAGGGGGCAATTACCATCATTAAATGTCTAAAAATCCTATTATCTTACCCTTAGATTATGCACGCAATTACTGTTGCGAAACCATGTTACAGTGATTGTCTAAGATGGTAAATAATACCACACTCTAAAAAAAAAAATGCTGTTTCAACCCATGTTTAGGTCAAATATGGAAAAACCCAACCAATGGTTTACATTTTTTTTTTTTTTGGTTGTTTAAATGCATTTTTGTTCTTTAACGTTCAAACCAAATTGGTTGGGTTTGTTCATATTTAACCCGAACATGGGTTAAAACCCAGCTTTTATTCGAGCACATATTCTCACATTCACGTACAGTACCTGGAGAACACAATGGTATTTCAACCAGCTTGGTATTTACCATTTTTATACTTTTTTCCATTCCTCGTTAATAAGGGTAGACCAAAGGGACATTGAACAGAGCATATTTTTGGTTGGGTATGTAAAATTTTGTAAATATCCATTTATATAAATAATATGCACCTCAGACAGACTGACCAGCACTGTTCCGTACCAGTACAAAATGAAAACTGCAGATATTTAATCAGACGGCAGCCAAACTTTCAAACTTAAAAACTAATAGCAAATGTGATGGATGCACTGAGAAAACAAAGAAGAAAAACAGGCACATAATGTTATGATCCCAGAAAATTAGCAGATTAAGGTTGCAGATATGATTATGACAAAGGAATCTTCCTGAATTACATATTTATGTAAATTAAATATGACATTGTATTGTGTTCTTCAGAAAAAGATATTGTTTCTCAATCGGATGGTGTAACACTAGAATTAACTTAAAAAGTAGGAATGACAAAAGAAAAATAAGATCCTACAAAATGTCATTACATTTTTTTCCAATTCACCTGCTAAATTATGTAGTCCTCTCTCATGGGAACACTTGGTCCATTGTGATGCACATCCACTTAGCTGAAGAAAATCCTCTTGGCGAACTGCAGTGCACAGTCAGACACATTATCTCTTTTATTCCCCCTGCTTCTCTGGAGATACCCCCTCATACCTTGTTCTTGGGTATTAATTCACATCTGCATTAATGCTTGAAGGCAACTGGAGACATCCTTCATCCAGGTCTCAATGAACAGGACCAGCCCTGGCCTCGGCTGCTCGCCTGACTCGGACGCAAACCTTTGAACTTGTTTGTGATCAAATGAACAGAAGGACAATATTAACATGGAAAATCATGCATTACACAGTCATGGCCACTGCTGAGGTGTCCTTTCACTACAGCCATTCGAGTCCTTGTCGTCAAATGATGCAGCAAGTTCATATCGTTTTCACCTGATGGGTTCGGAAAATGGGTAATTTTTTTTGTTCGTTTTTGGCAGAGGTAATCCGATGTCTCTGTCAGACTGTACTCTCCATGACCCACTCAGAGCTATCAAATGTTGCTTTCTCACCTTCCCCCTCGCTCTCGTCACACTGCAGGAGCATGCCGTTGACCGAGAGACTCCTCTTAGTCCAAATGTTGCTAATGCGTCGTGGGTAGCTAAGGCACTGCGAAGCACCAAAGTCGCCCATGTCGAACGAGTGGCTGCGCTTGGGCTTGTTCTCCGATGGCAGCGTTACAAGCGTCCCGAGCTTCCCGGAATCTCCTCGGCCTAGAAGAGGCTCCTTGTCAGTGGGGGGTCTCATGGCCATCGCCATGGTTCCCGAGGAAGACGGTCCTCCCGGATCTCTTGCGGGAACCCTCAGGTCCAGAGAGGCAAACGCCCCGAGCAGGTTATCCAGGTTTGGCCGTGCCTTGGATGACGACTGCTTCCACCGGTTGGGCAGGGTGTTGGAATCCCCACGTCGGTTGTAAGACTCGACTTTCCCACTTCCGAGGGAGTCAGCCGAGGAGGACGAAGAGGACGAGATGCTACTCTGCAAGGAGCCACACTTAAACTCCACCACCTCGTCTCGCATCACCACAACAGTCTTTGGAGTCTGTGGCGTAGGAGCGGCGTTGTTGGCTCGTTGTGCGGCCTGTGGTCTCCCATTGGTCTGGGAGTAGGTGTTGCTCACCGTCACCAACTTTGAAACCTGCAAACCGCTGTTCACTTTATAGCGGACCATGAGGATGACGATAAAGACCAACAACGTGGCTACGATCACTCCGCCAATCACCAAGATCATAGTTCCTCCAAGAAACTGACTGTTCAGTGACTGGCAGCGGGGGTACTCGTCACTCGTCTCGAATTGCACACAGCCAACTATGTTGGTCGCGGTGAGTGTGGTGGCGGTGTCTTCCCAGATGGCCAACACGCACAGGTCATACTGCATCCCTGGCATCAGGTTGTTGACCAAGAAGGATTTGCTGATAGCCGGAATCATCCTGTGAGCAACAAGACATTGATGTTAATACAGGCTCTCTAAAATCATTAAATGGACGCAGTGGCTTGAAACCACAGGTATATGGTACTGAAGGTTAGGTAGTTATTAAAATGCTCAGACTGATTCCTCGTTGCTTTATTGTGGATGCACAGAATGCTCTGCGAGTTGACAAAACAATCATTAATCCTTTTATTGAGAAAACTTAATTACTTGGAAAGCACTGATCGTATCAACCTTGGAAGTTCATTTAGATGAAACGACTTTGAAATGAGGTCTATTGTGCAGTCAATGGATCCAGAAAATAAGTTGTTTTTGACTGACAGGAGGCAATGTGGGGATTGCGTAACTTTGAAAATATACTTTTCACATGCAATTCTTGTCAACACTGAATCGTTTAAATGGAACACATTTTTCTTTTGGTGTTTTGGAGCGAATCAAAAAAATCTATTAAATAGAAATGTGTCGGTTCCTTGATTGGTTAGAAGAAAGATCTGGCTTCTGTTAATGAAAACATGTTTCTTTAAGGTCATTTTCTGTAGTACTTCTCCACTCAACCTCTAAAAAGCACATCGAGAACATGAGGGCATGTAATCACAAATTATCTTTTTCTGACTGCATTAGCTCATCATTATCTAGAATATTCTTTGCAGATCCCTGACAGTGGATGTGGACTGAGAATACTAATTAGAGTACAATCATTTACCCAACTCTGTGAAGGTTAAGTAATTGAAAAGAAGTGTCTGAGGCTTTTTTTTTTTTATTCAGACTAATACTTTTTTTTATTAAATCATACAATTTCATACATTTGGAGATTTTTCAGAGTGAGACCATGTGTGCAAATTCGGTGAAAATATCTCATTTTGTTCTAGAGTTATAGATTTATATGTGTGCGAGCATAAAAAAAGAAACGATGGGCGACTTCGATTGGATTTTTTACCACTTTCTATTGAAGTTTGACATTTGAGCATTTGCGTTTAGCCAGCAACCTGTTTTCAAATTTCCTATGGTGGTTTCTTATCGAATTGACGAACGGTTTCAAATGTAAGGAGAAGATTGCCGTGACAATAAGTCAACCAAATCCAAAGTAATATGCAAAGTTTTTTCACCACTGGTCTAAAACTTCTCAGGCTCCTTCAGGGCATCGTACTGATGACCCATACAGAGTTTCGTAACGATACGTTCATAAAATACAGCATTTTGGTACAAAATTCAAAATGGCCAATGCCTAAAATGGTCCATATGGAAAAATTAGTCAACTCGTCATCACAGCCTGAATCTAACGAGACAACTTGTATGTTTTATGGACAAACAGTTTAGAAGTTTAGCCATTTTTTGTATCTCTGGACTAGTAGGTGGCGTTGCTCCGAAACGCAGCATGTAGCCTCAGGTAACGCTTGTGATGACATGTACCACATTTGGTCTGAATAGGATAAAGCGTTGTGGAGATACAGCCTTACGTCTGTTTTCGCAAGCGCTACGTAGTATGCATTAGTTTGTCGCGGTATTCGAGAACGGTTTGACGAATCAGCATGAATTCCATAGCTTTTTGTCGACATGGTCTGAAGAAGATCTGGTTACATTTTCATGAAAAAGAAGGTTTTTCGGAGAATTCCAAATGGTGGACACATTTTCATGATGGAAATGATGAAAAATAGGGTGCAATCAAATCGTCTTGAGCCAAGGAACCAGATTAATTTTGTTTCTAGCCCTTATGGTTGAAAAGTTATTAGCTTAGATATTAACTTTGGACTGTTGGTGGCGCTAGAGGGATTGAGTTAGAGACTCTAAATTTGCTATGGTGACAGTTCAGACTATGCCAAATTTAATAACTTTCACGCAAGCGTTCTACGGGCTCCCGTAGATTTCCAGAGTGGAAGTAGTAGTAGTTTTGGAATAATAATAATAATAATATTAAAATCATTGGTGTCCTTATTAGGTACACACTTTCAGTGCTTGGCCCCTAATAATAAGAACGCCAACGGATACAAAGGGTGCCTACGCATTTTCAGTGATTGGCCCCTAAAAATAATAATAATAATGAGAAAACAATAATATGTACAGGATATCATGGGGGGAGATGTAGAACCCTATTAAGAACAATATGGATTCACTATTAATCTGTTAGATATTTAGATATAAAATAAGTGCAGGATGATGATACATCAGCCAATACATTATTATAGGAAACAAAAAGGAAACAAAATTATTTATTAATTATTTAATTATTAAAAGAGGGGTAAGTTGGCCCCCTTTTTGAGTTAAGAAACAAAAACTATAACTTTAACTCCACAAATCAAAAAATATTGATGCGTCCACAAATCTCTCATTAACAAATAGATACAAAACACTTTGATATTCAACATAATACAATGTCATAGATCACTATTTTCCAGACACAAAAAAAAATTGATCAATTAACCTTAAAAATGATTGACTAAATCTCACAAATGTAATTCATCAAGGGTGCTGAAATGGGATTAAAGTATACACTAAAGTAGATATTTTAATGACTTTTCCATTTTCTGGAATGAATACATTTTTCAATAAACCGTTTATCCAGTTCTCAAGTTCAGCGATCAAGTTGCAGCACTTAACAGCCCACTGGAAGTGGCAATTTTCACTGCATAACATAAGTTTTGGCTTATTTTACAATTTACACAAAGCCATCGCATGGATTCAGAAGAAATACAGAGCATGAGTCAAAATTTTACTATGCTTTTGCTACTTAAAATTCCTCCGCAGAAAGGACCAGAAAGCATAGTCTTCAGACGTTCAGCTTGTGTGTTGCGCAAAATAAAATAGTCATGAAAAAGTAAAAGGGTGAGTAAATGAAGAAATGATGAAAACAAACATGTCTGGTTTGATATGCAATTGATATGGTTCTTAATCGCATGCTTTTCCTACAACCACCATTTCATGGGATCTAGTATTTTGTGTTAGAGACATCCTTTAAAGCACTAAAACCACATCTAGCAGGGCAGCCTGACACATTGTCTACGGTAAGCGTGTATGCCAGCTAGTCCATTACTCATTCATAATTGCTTTCCCATCACAGGAGAAGACGCTAGATTCTGTGGTGACAGCTTTACGAGAGAGCCCAACCCTTTTCCACTCCAGGCTTAGTGATTGATTTTTTTTTCTTTGTTGTTGCCAACATCCAGGTTAACACTGCTCTTCCAAGACAGGAGGAAGAAAACAGATCTCTAAATAATGACAAACATGCAGTTCAACATCAAGCAGTCATTAAGTAATAGAGAGGCACCAGTAAATGAACATAGTCATATTGTGTGAGCACTTAACATAAAAAAAGTATATATATATATATATATATATATATATATATTTCCTTTTCCTTTAAGCCCTCGCTTATCTGGCTTATGCAATGTCTGAACTTTATATTTTGAGCACTTCTGGCGTTATTTTTGCCTCTTCACGATGACTCGCTTGGTTTAGTCCTAAATTGTAAGTCACTTCGGATAAAAGCGTCTGCTGCTAAATGACTAAATGTGTAGATTATACAATCTTTCCAAAACATGAAAATCTCTCTTCTTCACAAGTCAGATAAACTAGACAGCTTAATGGTTTAAAATGTAGGCAGTTTGATAAGGGAACCCATCGCTTTGATTATAAACTGATGTAGATATAAAGAAACGAAGCAAGGAACGTGAGCTGAAATGAAAATCAAAAGAATAGAGAATATTTTAATAGCCCCTGTTGCCTCAGGCTTGTAATAGTGATGATCATGTTAGTTTTGTTATGTTAAAAAAATCCTAGAGGTGATTGAGGGTAACAGGTTCTTTATTTCACAAATAGAAATTGTTGCATTTGATTAAAAGATGGTGAAATCGTTCATTCAACAGCTGATAGTGGTTCATTTACATTATAAATTACTGTGGAAACTCTGTGCCTTGACCTTTAATATAAAAAAAAAAAAGTCCTGTTCTACAGGGGGAACAACATCTAATCATCCTTAAGATATTAACTACTGTAGATAAAAACAATTTATTAACAAAAAGTTCATAAAAAAGTTCAACATGTTTTTAATTTAGTTTGTACGATGATTGTGTATGATTTAACAAAAAAAAAAAAAAAATGGACGGGTCTATTACATAACTTTAAATCCACATAACAATCCTACACTTTCTTTAAAATTACTCATAAGAAAAAAACAGAATTTATCAAGTGCTGTTGGTACATTTTAGACAGAATTTGTAGGTAACTGACTGATTAAAGGGTAAGCGAGTCAATGGGTCTTCGCTATAACAGTCACAGAACACCATTAACACAATTAGGATGAGCCAATAAGTATGCATGCGAATGGTCGTTTGAAAAGACGCCAAAACAATGTCTCACCGCCTTTTAAATGTCACCGCATTAACTATCTTCAGCATTAACCTATTAACATTATCTACCTAAATGAAGTGAATTCCAAGTAATTTACAAGAATGAATTGAGTTAGAACACATCTAATGATAATATCCACAGATATCCAGTGAGAAACTAAAGGGCAGGTAAAAGTACATGTGTTGTTGGCTGGTTTAAAGGGTAAAGAAGCTGAATATTTACCTATAAATCAGGACATCATCCTCTGAACAGTTGTATTGGAGCTGGTACATTTTGACTTTGGGTGCCACTTTGCTAACCGTCCACTTGATCAGAGCAGACACTGCCGTGACCTCTGACACTGAGACTATCTGTTCTGGTTGGGCTTTGGTCTCCCCTTTGCCGGTTTTAGTGGAGCTGGTGATGTCAGATAGTCTGGATTTTGGCTGTGATGTGCGGTTCGTTCCATTACTAAGGTGGGGAAGCTGGATAATGGAGAGCTCAATTGAGGCTGTTGATTCTCCTGCTGCGTTTGCAGCAATACAAGTAAACGTCCCGTAATCCTTAGAGGTGGTGACCATGATGTCTAAAGTACCATTTTCATACACTAAAGCCCTGGATGAGTTACTGATTAGTCGGTCGTCTGGAGCAACCCAATGTATGAGAGGCATAGGGTCACCCACAGCCTTGCAACGTAAACTGGCCGTCTGTCCCTCTAGGACCAAAAGCTTATGGGTATGCTGGGTAATTAACGGTGGTTCACAGACAAAATCTTCCTCTCGAACATACCAGAAGTAGCGACCTTTCAGATTTGGAGGGGAGGCGCATGTTTCCATATCGTCCTCTCGCTCTAGGCGGCGCAACCACAGAATCTCACAGTTACAGTGAAGAGGATTCCCACCAAAGCTGAGAGACAGGATCGGGGCAAACGGTGTACTAAGTACGGTGTTAGTCTGTGAGCGAGCAAAGATGGGATCAGGCGGAAGCTTCTGGAGACGGTTTGATGTAAGATCCAACCTCGCAAGCTTTTCGAGATCAGTAAAAGTGCCCTCGGCAATGTGGCTGATGAGGTTGTGGTCCAGGCTTAGTTGGTGTAAATTGAGCATTTTGCGAATGGCGTCCCAGGGAACACCCCGCAGGTTGTTGTAGGAGAGATCTAGGTCCTCTAAGGTGAGCAGCAGATCATCGAATGCTTCTTTGGAGATATGAGTCAGTTGGTTGTTGTTTAGGATGAGGTGTTGTAAGTTCACCAAGCCTCGCAGGGCATCTGGGCCAAGCTCTGTCAACCGGTTACTGTCCAGGTGCAGCGAACGCAGTGTTTCCAGATCTACAAAGGAGAAGGGCTGGATGAAGCTGATGGTGTTTCGTGACAGTGTGAGGTCCACAAGGCCCGTCATGTTGGTGAAGTCCTGCTGGGTAATTTTGATGATGTAGTTTCCTCCCAGACGTAATTCCACGGTTCTCCTGTCGATGTCGAGGGGCACGAACAGCAAGCCTTTGGACGGACACAATGTGCCCAAGGACTCTGAGAGGTTCTGACAGACGCAATATTTAGGGCAGGCGGTGGTCATCATCACTGCGCTTCCCAGGAGAAGGAGGCTGCAGAGCACTTTGGCCATGGTAAATCACAAGCAGGGACCTGGACAGACGACAGAAAAAAATAATGGTCAGTCCTTTCTGGTCACACAAAAACCAATTGATTCTGCAGAGGCGATATGATTATTATCAATTTTTAATTCCCATTCTGAACCAGCTTTTAGGATTAGCGAAGGCTCTTAAAGGCAAGCATGGAGCTTGGATCCCTGCACTGGTTTTTAACAGATTTTAAACCCCGACTGAAAAAAAAAATCCTTCATGAAAAGCTATTGTTTGGATGTGCCAAACCCAAAACTATGGGATTTAAAAGTTGTGCCATTGCTGTTGTCAGCTAACAAAAGTCTCATGTGCTTCATTAGAACTTTAATAAGATAATAACTGAAGTAATTATGAAGTAATCCTCAAATCAGAGCATTGAGAAGAAACTGAGGTATAACACGTTTTATAGTCCACACGTGAAATCCGCAGCCGGCTCCATACTTCTGACACACACAGAACGGATGACTGCGCTTGGCCTCAAATGACAGTCCATAATTCCTCTAGACATTTGTATCATCAATTCCAAACATACTCAAAACTTAAATCAATTTTAATCAGCGCTCTGCCAGACTGATTCTCTAATGGTGGGAGCTGTTTGGTGGAGCCGTTTAAGGTGTGTGTGAGAAGGAGAAGGGGTGATTTTTCATTTCCAAGGATTAAAGGATAATAGTTCTCCCAGCTGGCAGCATCCATACAATAAATCTTAATTGCTTTATCAATACCTTCAGTTATATATTCTATCCAAGATTCCTATGAACCCCAGAGCACAGAGTTCTGGTTGGAACAGCTTATGAGTTTTCAAGCCTCACGTTTATTGCATGCCACATCAATAAACTTACGAAGAGAAAGTATGGAGATTTGAGGGGGTTTTTTTATACAGAAGGCGACTGACATTGGAAAACTAGTCTAAAAAAACAAAGAAAATCAGCAACCATAATATGGTGATTACCCTAGCCATGTAATCAAAATTATCTGCAACAAAACAAATAAATTGGCAGATCGAGAGAATGGATATTTTCACTTTGACTGACATGCAATCAGTGGCTAGAAGGCAAATAGTTAATTTACCAAAACTATTTGCCCTCCAAGCTATTACAAAAACTCTGACGACTACTTGCACATTAACACTTGACTTTATGTTTTAATGTCTGGAGAAATGCAATTTAAAAAAAAAAAAAGGATTTAAACATAGGAGGAGATTTCCAAGTTAACTGAAAATGTGATGCATTTAATTTTCCAGTCTATAATAATTTCACATTTAAAACCGATATCTTGCAGAAAATGAAAAATAGTTTGTTTTCTGAATATTTCCAAACTACCAATCACTCATTCTCAGGAAATCAGATTTTTGAAATTCAGTGTTGTAGTCGAGACCGCTTCACTCGAGTCCGAGTCGACACCGAGACCAGAGAGAGTCGAGTCCGAGTCAAGACCGAGTCCATAGAAAGTCGAGTCCGAGACCAGAGACGGTCGAGTCCGAGTCGAGACCGAGACCAGTGAGGGTTGATTACCTAGTTTACTTTTATTTACTTAGAGAAATCCTTTTTTTTTTGTTTGTTTTTACTGAATTTACTTAGAGTTTAAAAAAATATGATCAGTTTAGGGTAAAAAGGCCACATAGTAGGTGGTGTTAAAAGTAATTTTATTACAATTTGTCATGCGCAGTTGCGCACTAGAAAATCACCAATCACTGGGCGTGTCAATCAATTTAAAGAAATATTTTATTAACATACATTAATAATCATGAAAAATATTTTTAATTGAACTCGAGTGGACTCGGGAATAATTCCGAGTCCTAAAAAAAAATGTTCGAGTACGAGTCAATTCCGAGTCCAAATGCACACGAGTCCATGACAAGACCAAGACCATTAAAATATGGTCTCGAGACCGAGTCCGAGACGAGTCCGAGTCTCGAGTACTACAACACTGTTTAAATTTTATGAGAGAGCAACAATGTTGTAGACCCGAGTGTTGATAACAAATACACCTATTTCCTATCTTGCTCCCTCCAATATCCTCTCCATTTTTGTGTACAATGAAAAAGGGCAATTAACAGACAACAGATGTAATATGCACAAGAATGCATAGTACAAAAATCAATATTGGCACATTGGTCTAGCATGTGAACGCCATGCAGAACACTACACACTTCATCTTAATAAAGAGAGGAGATAAACCATATGCTTTTACAGCATTTTATTACTGCTAGGTTACTTGGAATTTATGTCCACACCATACTGGATTAACTGAAATACACCCTATACTGAGTCAAACTTAATTTCAATGTTCATTCTGGACTCACAGCATAGCATTTTGTAAAATTATGAGAAGTACGTATGCTTGGGACAAGGGGATATTTTTCATGTTTGACAGCTAAAACCTGATTAGGCTGAATACAGCAGAAGCTTGCCCTTTAGCAGGACCGTATTTCTGAGGTAAGTTTCCTGCATTACCAATTCTCTCATAACTGCTTGTCAAGCCTCATCTTTATTCATTTCTTTTGCAGCCTGCTAACGGCACAACCACCGAACACATATATAACAATTGCTGAGGAACTCAACCCCTAAGAAGATTCCACATATCTGCATTTCATCCAAATCAGACGGAAATGGCGGCGTGCCATCCGGGGAAAGGAATTTGCTTCCCCTTATCAAATGAGCCAAACATCTCAGCTCGTTGGTTGGAGAAAGTGTTTAAATGAGCTTAGCCGGGTCACTTCTAACTTCAAGGAAATCAACAAAAGGAGATCTGAGGGATGTGAAAAATCATAGAGCTTTCTTTCTTTCTTTCTCTCTCTCTTTTTTTTGGTCAGTTCAGCAGACATTAAGGCCAAAGAATCATAGCTTTAATAAACGAAAGAGTGTAAGAGCACATCAAAAAGTCTTTTATCAAGCAAAGGAGAAGGTGCCCATGAAACAGCAGGACGTGAAAAACTACAGAGACCGCTAAGCATCCAAAGGCGAGGTAAAAGCTTAGGCTTTGCAATCACACAGTGCTGAAGCACAAGATGAAGGTAGAGCTGCATTTTACTTGAGATCCAGGGGAGAACTCCCAGTGCAGACGCCTGATTGGACATGGGCTAACCATTATGACAGTAGGCAGTCAGTTTGACAGCGCTGCTCTGAAATCCTCATGACGTCTGACCGCCTGATGGATTCTGCACCTGGGATAGTATTTGCGCAATGGACTTAGATTTCAATGTTTAGCGGTGTCTTCTACTTTATAAGCGTACAGTATGATGATATATGTTCACTTTCAGATTGAAAGTGTTCAAAACAAAAGCATTGAATAGACTTTTTTTTAAGTCAGTACATGTTCGATTGAATCACTGGCCTACAGTCCAGTAGTACATTGTGTTTTTCACTCTTTTCACAATTGTTATCAATTTAATTTATTTTTATTTTTGGTTAATGATTATTTCACTGTCTTACAAAAAATACAACACAACAACATGTGGATTGTAACTAAATCGGAAATTGTACATCATTGCCCCTATAAAGCCACATCTGGCACCTTACGAAGAGTTGTGTGACAAAAAACTTAGGCTTACAGCTTAAAATGTTTATTTTAGTGAAGTCTGTTTCTTTGACACTTTGAGCTTTAGAATTAGCAAGCTGCTCTCAGTCTGAAAATGAAATCAAGAGAGGAAACACATACATTTCCTGTGATATCAACATGTACAAGCTTGCCAAGGTTACTGTCTTATTCATTTCACACATTGTCTTGGACTACTCAAAGTTCAGCCTATACTTCATCATTTCATCATAACAGGTTTATAGAAATCCTTTCCTTATACATTAAAATGCTGTCTTTACACTCTGGCAATTATGCATCAGCATCCTCCTTTTGAGCTTCCATTATTGTGTAATATTAAGACTTCTGTAACAAACATGATTGTGAATAGCTCAAATAAATAAATAAAAATGTTATGAGACAATGGTGTCCCAGAAGAAAACTTTGAAGGAAGTTTGGTAAGCTTTCATTTTGATGGTCCACTTTCTACTAACAATTCTATTCCTCTGCTGTAGTTCAGTCCTCTAGTCCCCACTGTTTGTAGTTCATTTAAGCCATTCGTCAATAAGTCAGGGGAGAAATACTAAATCATAATAATGAGCATTTAAAATATATATTAAGTGCTCAAGGCTTTCTGCAGGGGCACTGTAAACATTGCATTCACTTTTATGAGATCAGAACCAACAAAAAATATATAATAATAACCTATAAAATAAACAAACCCTTGAACTTAACGCACAACATAATGGCAGCAATTGACGTCTCTCGTAGTTCAAACACACACACAGAGAGCTGGGAAACTGCGTTCGTCATTACGTTGTGCTTCAAATTCAAGGGTTACTCTTTTGAAGTAAATCAATGTATACGTCCGTCTGCCGGAAGTTAATTATTTTAGTCGATTACTTTTTAAAAATGGATATTTTTCTTACACGAACACATTGCTACACTTCAGAAGGCCTTTATTAAGCTGTGTGGAGCACTTTTATCATGAATAGATGTGCTTTAATGCACTTCCACAGTCAAACAGCCATTCACTTACATTATCAAGTTTGGAAAAGCCAGCCATTTTTTAATATAACTCAGATTGTTTTCTTCTGAAAGAACAATGACATATAACCCTAGGATGGCTTCAGGGTGAGTAAATCATGGGCTTATTTAAATTTTTGGGTGATCTAACCCTTTAACTTTAAAGTGGGCGGTCATGTGGTTTTAAATGATAAGTCATGTTTGAGGTATAAGTCACCTTTTTGTGGTCATTCTATCTGTAATTATCGTGAATATATAGATGTAAAGGTATTGACTGTTTAATTTTCACCAAGTTTTACTTCTGAAAACGTATGAGACACAAATATTAACGTTTTTGGATCTGTTATGACTAGAAAAGCTGTATACTGACAGAAGGACTAATGGACTTCTTCTGGTCAACATGTCCTAGCCTCCATTCCACCAGAGATTACTGCCAGAACAATTCAATGCAACTGTTTCCACCAG